GGAAGGGTTTTCTCCCAACATTCTGGGCTAAATCACTTCCCTTCCCCTATTAGCTGCCATGCTCCACACCAGAGGTAGCACTGCTTCAATAGGGCTATATGCTAACAGTTTGTGAAGCACTTTGGAATCCTGCAGGACAGAAAGTGTTATGCAAGTTTAAATTATCAGGTAATTTAATGGATCACAACAGGCGTCACAAGCTATTTCCAACTTGTCTTCAAGATTCTTAAAGCCGCCACCTTTTTTCTGGGCAGTCCCCGGAGTGAGAGACAGACAACATTTGCATGTAGGAGCGCAGTAATCTACTTTGCACAGCTTTAGAGGCTGCTCGGGAGCCAACCTGGGTCTCTGGCATCCCAAGAGGTACCATGAACAGGCAATAATGCTAGAAAGGAGCCTCAACAGTCTCTGCAAACACCCCATGCCAGAGAACTCTTAGCCATCACTGTGCTTGCTCATTTCCTCACTGATAGCATTGCAGTTCCTTCACACCCGCAAGAGGGAATCATGCCTCATTCCCACTGGCAGCAGTAATCCCTTACCAGCCTAGTGTTTTCTTCTAAGTCCTCTTCCTCTTTTTCAGAGTCACCAAAGAGGTCACACCCATTCTCCTCTTCCTCCTCATCACTCACCAATGTCCTTCTCTGAGAAGCAAGAACACAAGTCGTTGTCTGTTACAGCTAAGAAGAGAAAGGCCAGCTGACTGAACTGAATTTGCTTACAGGAACATTCAACTAGTTTTAGGGGTATGATTTTTTTGGGAGTGGGGATGACAGGGAAGAAAGTGTCCTAAGCCCCAAGTTATGTTGCATATTCTCCCTGACCCAGCACTAACAGACAGTTCCTCCAGTTGACTAAAGGGAAGAGAGATAACAAAGAATCTGATCATTAGGACAGTATCCTCACCATTACACATACACCCCTCCCACCTCTGTTTCTACCTTCCCTTCTGCTTCATCCCCTATTTACTTTGCCTTTTCTGTTTTATCTGAGACACTGTGCATTTCTGAAGGTTTGGACTTGAACTGCAAGTGGGCTTTACTTCATTTTTAAAGCATTCACCCACACCCCATACCACCCCCAAACCAAGGACCATTGGTCCAAACATGCTGAGCACACAAACAAGAGATCTGAAAGAGGATGTGATTCGTGTTTTAACTTAGACTTTGAACAACTGTCCCTATAAAATCTTATCTCCCCTCCCTTGCATCTCCATTGCGTACAGCACATAGATACATTGATTCCCAGGCCAGAAGGGACTATTATGATCATCTAGTCTGGCCTGTAAAACGCAGCCAAAGAACTTCCCCAAAGTAATTCCGAGAGCAGGAATTTCAGAAAAGCACCCAATCTTGATTTAAAAATCAAACAGCCTTTTGTTCCATTCCACAGTACTTGCCCTTACTGGCTTTTGGTCATCCTCGCTTGGGTTTTCAAATTCATCATCTGATTCCTAGAATGCAAAAGTGATTTGATAGCATGACTGTGTGCACTGTCTTGTTTATGTGCCTAAGGTAGAATGCTTTAAAATTCCATGCCTGCAGCAGTTCTGACCGCCAAAACAGCCTACTGCACCTATTCAGCTTGCTTTCCGTCACTGAACCCAGCAGTCTAGTAACTAGTCACTACAGACCAGGACTGATGCGCAAGAGTTTTTAAGGCTTTGTTTTCAGAAAGGTGTTCAACATATTTTAACAGGAGTTTTAGTCTGGCTCAAAAGGAAAGCTCAAGTCTTACAAAATGCAGAAAGCAAAACTTTTCAGGAGCAGAGGAGAGCATGCTTCCACTAATTAGCATACAGCTGGTGCATGTAATGTACACATTACAGACACAGCTTGTCAGATGCAAAAGATTGATACAGTAAAGGTAAAAAACCACAAGTTATGGTTCACCATAATCAGTGGAGCTAAGCAGGTTTACAGAGTAAGCAGTGAATGAGGTTTCTGTTGTTCATTTTCTGTCACCATACTGGATCATTGCATATACCTGCAACGCATGGGTAGCCACAGGAAGATTTAATTTTCTGTCATTTCAACACTAAGTGATTAGACTGAAAATATTCCAGCCAAATATGCCTTGCTCAATACAGGCAGCAAAATTAGAACTAGTGTCTCTTTATTGCTCTATTGAAAAGATTTTGTTTCAGGAAAAATTACTGCACAAGAACAGCAATGTGAAATATTTGTATCACAGTTAAAATATACAATTTAAAAGAGAGATTTAACCCTTTAGTGATGTTGGAGTGGAAAATGTCATTCTAAATAATGAGGCCATCATATTATTAAGAAGCCCAAGTGTTTATGCAAAAAATTATTTGGATCATAGCACAGCACCTAGGAGCTCCAGTCATGGGCCAGAACCCCACTATGCCAGGCATTGTACAAACAGAACAAAAATAGCCCCTGCCCCAACAAGCTTAAACAGCCAGTTATCGTCCCCTCTTACCTCGTCATCTTTTTCTTCACTGTCAATTACACTCCCACGATCACTGTCTACTGACCCTTCTGTTCAAACAGAAAAGAGAACTCAGTTCAGAGGCACAGTGACACATGCAGCTATCCAGCCTTCAGAACACAGACATCTAGCCTACAGCATCGTAAATGGAGAATTAAACACCATGTAAAGGAGATTGGTTTGAAAAGCACAGGTTACAATAATCCCTCCATTCCATGCCCACAAGCATCAGATCTTGTAAGCACTGAGCACTCAGTCACATTAAGCTCGACCAGTTCACTACAACATTTAGCTCTTAGCAAGTACCTGATATGGTGCATGCACGCCCCCCCTTAGTGCATCAGTCACCAAAATCACCAGCACACGACATAATCGACATAATCAGAGCCATTCACTTCAACATGAGCCATAAGCAATAAGCTAGGAACTAGTTACCAACATAAATAAGGCCATCGCCCGTACAAACCTTCACTAGAGAAATCCCCCAGCCCAACATCATCGCGTTCCATGAACAGCTGGGAGCCAATTAAATAAGGTAAAGGCCTATCAATATAGAGATCCTGTAAAGAGACAAAGAGGGTTGGGCTTTTGTTTATATCTCTATGCCATGGAGAAGACACTTTACAGTTCCTATTTCAAAACAACACCACACTCTTTTTTTTTAAAAGAGCCCAACACTATGCAGACCATTAGTCACTATGTTTTAATCCCAAACCAGTTTTAGGTTCCAAATCAGGTGCTGAATAATGCTCATGAAGACTGGACGAATAGAAGTATTAGGCTGGAGTCCTGGGTCTAGGATTGACGGTTAGGGCTGTTATTTGTTGGTCCAATGGAGATCGTTGTCTATATCAATTAAACTGTCTCCAAACCCCATAAAAGAACGAAGAGTTCACATTCATTAAGACCCCCTCCCCACACAGAAATTGAATGTGCCCCCTCTCAAACCCATCAATATGAACTACCCCCTTGTACTTCAACATGCATCAGAAAACCCAGAGAAAAGGGCACAGGGCCTTTTTCTATGTACTCCTCGCAAGTACATAAAACTACTATCTGGTTGGCTCTAAGACACAGGAGCTAGCTACACAAATCCAGAGATAGCTCAGCAAGGGGCGCTGCTGCCTGCCACTTCAGCCCCAATCAATGGGCCCAATTCTGATGCAATTTGTATCAGTTTTACACCAGCATAACCAACTTGGCTGGTATTGCTCTCCACTTGCACTGGCGTACACGAGATAAGATTCAAGCCCAATGCTCCCCACAATGGGTACGTCTTCACTACCCGCCGGATCCGCAGGTAGTAATCGATCTATTGGGGATCGATTTATCGCGTCTCGTCTAGATGCGATAAATCGATCCCCGGACGCACTCCCTGTCGAATCCGAAACTCAACCAGGGCGCGAGGCAGAAGCGGAGTCAACAGGGGAGCCGCGGCCGTCGATCCCGCACCGTGAGGACGCGAGGTAAGTCGATCTAAGATACATCGACTTCAGCTACACTATTCTCATAGCTGAAGTCGCATATCTTAGATCAATTCTCCCCCCGCCTCCCCCCAGTGTAGACCAGCCCAAAGGCAGTTTCTTTACCTTTGGCTCCAGTATTAGTTCTACCCTTTCATTAGTTTCTTCCTCTTCAGAGTCTGAATTGCCTGCTTTGATGTCCAGCTGCTTCAAATGCACTGTCCAGCACTTGAAACCCATAATTCACCGCTTCCTGGATTTTAGGAATCAAATCTGCTTCTTTTTGTTCCCGGGTTTTCTCCTTTAAATAACAGAAACACCATATTAGTGTTTAGTTTTAGTCAAAGTCATTTTCACTGTCAAACGTAACTGCAGGAGGTTAGCTCCAAATCAGCATGATTCCACTCTCAATACAGCTACCTTCAGATCTCTTGGTGGCATAGAGGTATGGTTTCCACCTCTGATGGTAGAGGTCATTGGTTCAACTATGCCATAGCAATGAGACTGAAAATTGCTGTCTCTCAGAGCTGTTTCACTATAGTTAAAATGACAAAAAAAACCTAGGTAAGCTTAAAATGGATAGAATTGAATACATCTTTTCATCAGATTAAATTCCATTTTACCAACCCCAAAATACAACAGATCTTTTAGCTTCCAAGTGCATTTAATTACCAAATGAAGAAAAGACTTCCTGGCTTTGCACCATTACAGGATGCCAGACACAATCCTGTGTCTAGTCACAACTCCAGGATTTGGGACGAGTGCTTAGCCTCCTACCCCTTTTGCTATAATTACGTGTTGCTCTTGGAAAACTAGAATTTAAGCTTGGCTACTGGACACAAGACACTGGGCTAGAAGTTACAATACACTAGTCATCCTCAAGAGTGCTCCTGAGTTCTTAGGGTTGTGAGACTCAAATCACCCAACAGGTGGAGGACTTGCAAGAGTAAACAAAATTCAGCCTCTAAGTTGCAAGTGCCTGAGAGTAAAAAAACAAAACGAAAACACAAAAACAAAACAACTTGTGTCTACTTCTGTTTTCCACAGCTCCAAACACACAGTCATCACTCATAAGAATATAAGTTATCTAACCTGTTCTGCTTTGTCTCCTATTTCAGTTTTGGGAATAGATTCTTCTACTTCTTCATCATATACTCTCTATGGATTCAAGAGAATTGATTCAAATTAATATAACATTCTGCTGCAGCTGGTGAAAAAAACACATACTGTCCACAAAGTATAGAAAAATTAACACATTGACTCTCTATTCCCACTACATTTCCAGGAAATAGAAACAATACGATCATTTATATCGGAGAGATTCAGCATGATGCTATTTTAGAACTGTCTAATGCATACACACCTCTACCCAGATATAACGCTGTCCTTGGGAGCCAAAAAATCTTACCGCGTTATAGGTGAAACTGCATTATATCGAACTTGCTTTGATCCGCCAGAGCGCGCAGCCCCGCCCCCCCGGAATGCTGCTTTACCGTGTTATATCCGAATTTGTGTTATATCGGGTCGCGTTATATCAGGGTAGAGGTGTATTTAAAAAACACGTATTAATTTAGCATTAGAAGATTGGGCATTTTTTCCTACAGTTTAGTAGAAAATATTTTGTACTTCTATAGCACCTTTCATAGGAGAATCGTAAAAATTTTATGAATAGGGTTGGGTGTTTGTTCTAAAAATAACTAGTCAATTGACAGATCAAATATCACAAATGGTCAAATTTTAAAAGCACTAATTTATTAGAACAGTAACAAAAGAAAAGACAGTAACCTTTTCCATAACTGGTGTTCTTCGAGATGTGTTGCTCATGTCTATTCCACAGTAGGGGTGCGTGCTCGCCACGTGCACCGGTGCCAGAAGTTTTTCCCTTAGCAGTACCCGTAGCGGAGCGCCCCAGTGACCCCTGGAGTGGTGCCTCCACAGCACGGTAAACGGGACGCTGCACGCGCCCCCCCCACCACCCTCAGTTCCTTCTTGCCAGACAGCTCCGACAGAGGGGAACATGTGGAATAGGCATGAGCAACACATCTCGAAAAACACCAGTTATGGAAAAGGTAACTGTCTTTTCTTCTTCAAGCGATTACTCATGTGTATTCCACAATAGGTGATTCCAAGCTATATCTGTTGGAGGTGAGTAGGAGTTCACAAATTCTCAGGATGGAGCACAGCCCTGCCAAACCTGGCATCCTCCCTGGTTTGGGAGACGATCGCATAATGCGAGGTGAAAGTGTGAACTCAAAACCATGTAGCAGCCCTACAAATGTCCTGGATGGGGACATGGGCTAAAAAGGCAGCCGATGAGGCCTGCGCCCGAGTCAAGTGCGCCTTCACAATTGGTGGTGGACAGATTCCCACCAGGTCATAACAGCTACGGATGCACGAGGTGATCCAGTTGGAGAGCCGCTGAGTGGAGATCGGCCGACCTTTCATGTGCTTGGCCGAGGCGATGAACAGTTGCGAGGACTTTCTGAACAGCTTAGTCCGCTCCAAGTAGAAAGCTAGAGCCCATCTCACATCCAGCGTGTGGAGGTGGCGCTCACTGGACGCATGAGGTTTGGGGCAGAGGACCGGCAGAAAAATGTCCTGACCCATGTGATAGGCGGAGACCACCTTCAGGAGGAACAAAGGCTGTGGGTGGAGCTGGACCATATCTTTATGAAACACAGTGTATGGGGACTCGGAGGTCATGGCCCTGAGTTCTGAGACCCGCCTAGCCAACATGATTGCAACCAGGAAGGCCACCTTCCACGAGAGTTGTGACCAGGAGCATGTGGCTAGCAGCTCAAAACGGTGGCCCCCGTGAGACGGGCCAACACCAGGTTTAGGTCCCACTGCAGGACCGGGGGCCTAACATATGGGGCCCCTTAAGGAATTGGCCAGTCATAGCATGGGAGAATACCGTATGGCCCTGCACCGGCGGATGGAAGGCTGATATGGCCGCCAGGTGCACCTTGACTGACGAGGGCACCAGGCCCTGGGCTCTAAGGTGAAGGAGATAGTCCATAATAAGGTGGATCGGGGCAGCCACCAGGGAAATGCCCCCAACTCATCCGCCCATCTGGAAAACCGAGATCACTTTGCCAAGTAGGATCGGCGTGTGGAGGGCCACCTGCTTTCTAGGAAGACATGCTGAACCCCTTCCGAGCACGTCCTTTCCTCCCTACCTAGCCATTGAGCAGCCATGCTGTGAGGTGGAGTGCCGCTAGGTTGTGGTGGAGGAGGCGGCCCTGGGAGAGCAGGTCCAGGCAGGATGGCAACAGCCATGGCAGGGCGACCGCCAGGCCCGTGAGGGTTCCGTACCAATGCTGCTTGGGCCATCCTGGGGAAATCAGAAGGACCCAGGCCTTGTCTAACTTTATCTTTTCTAGGACCTTGCCGATCAGCAGGAACAGGGGAAAGGCATAGAGAAACTTGCTTGACCAGGACAGGAGGAAGGCATCGGAGATAGCACCCCGTCCCAGGAACCACGGAGCAGAACTGGGGACAGTGACGGTTCTGCCGAGTCGCGAACAGGTCCACCTGGAGAGTTCCCCACACTTGGAAAAGTCTGTGCACCACCTCTGGGTGGAGAGACCACTTGTGCTGAGAGGAGAAGTCCCTGCTCAAGCGATCCACCTGCGCATTCCGGGCACCCGGTACATGGAAGGCCTGTAGGCAGATGTTGTGGGCTATAGAAAAGTCCCACAGCCTGAGGGCTTCGCAGCAGAGGATCAGGCCCCGCCTTGCGTGTTGATATAGAAGATCAAGGCCGTGTTGTCAGTGAGGACCCTGACCACCCAGCCCTCCGGGTGCGAGCGGAAGACCATGCACGCCAATCTTACCGCCCTGAGCTCCTTGATGTTTATGTGGAGGGTCAGATCCTGAGCTGACCACAGACCTTGGGTCTGAACGTTCCCCACATGGCCCCCCCATCCCAGGTCTGACGCGTCGGACACCAGCTCCAGCAACGGGGCCCTGCCCCTGAACGGGATCCCATAGAGCATGTTTCTTGGGGAGGACCACCACCGTATGGAGGCGATCACTGGCTTGGGCACTGTGAGGACTTTGTCCATCCTGCCCCTGGCCTGGGAGAACTCCAAGGCCAACCAGAGCTAGAGGGGCTTCATCCTGAGTCTGGCGTGACAGACCACATACGTGCACGCCGACATGTGACCCAAGAGCTGGAGGCACACTCTTGCAGTTGTCACCGGAAACCTTGTGACCGTGTCGATGAGCCCCTTCATGGTCTTGAACCTGTCCGGTGGGAGGGAGGCTTTGACCGACGAGGTGTCCAGGACCACCCCAATAAACTCTATGCGGTGTACCAGGACTAACGTGGACTTGGTGTTGTTTACCAACAGGCCCAAAGTGGTGTACGTGGACAGAAGGAGCGCCACGTGTTCCCGCACCTGCGACCAGGAGCTGCCCTTCCCTTATCTGGACAACTAGTTGGTTAAGATCTGGACCCCCCCGGCGCCTGAGGTAGGTCGCCACCACCGACATACATATCATGAATGTCCTGGGGGCAGTGGACAGGCCAAATGGGAGGACCGTAAATTGGTAGTGTTCCTGCCTCACCATGAAACAGAGGAAGCGTCTGTGCCCCTCAAATATATGAATGTGGAAGTACGCGTCCTGCAGATCAAGGGCGGCGTACCAGTCCCCGGGATCCAGGGAGGGGATGATGGAGGCCTGGAAGACCATGCGGAACTTGAGTTTCACCATGTACTCGTTCAGGCCTCACAGGTCCAAGATGGGCCTGAGCTCCCCTTTGGCCTTCAGAATAAGGAAATAACGGGAGTAGTACCGCTTGCCTTTGAACTCCCCCGATACCGCTTCCACCACTCCTAGGCCCAGGAGCCGCCCCACCTCCTGCTAGAGCAGAGCCTCGTGCGAGGAGTCCCCCAGAAGGGATGGGGCAGGGGGTGGTTGGGCGGAGAGGAAGTAAACTGGAGAGTGTAGCCCCGGGAGATGGTGTTGAGGACCCATCGGTCCGAGGTCAGCCACGACCACTCTGGGAAGAAAGCACACAACCGATTGGAGAAGGGAAGCTTTATTGAGGGTGGATCCTTGAGAACTGGCAGGGTGCCCCGGGGCATCCCATCAAAGCCGCCTTTTCCTGGCTTGCTTTCCCTTGGAGGACCCAGGCTGGGGGGCAGGCCGAAACAGCTTCTGTGGGCACCTCTTATAGTCCCACAACTTCTTATAAGCAGTCTTGTATTTTGACTGGGTGGCCTGAGCGGGAGTCTGCTGCAGCTTGAACTTAAGTTTAGCTGGAGCCAGAACAGAGACCCAGAGTCTGGAGAGTCGTGCGGGAGTCTTTCAGGCCATGCAGCTTTGTATCCATTTGTTTTGCAAACAGAGCTTTGCTGTCAAACAGGCGGTCCTGCAGGGAGGTCTGCGCCTCATTGGACAGCCCAGAGAGTGAGAGCCAGGACGCCCTTCTCATGAACACTGTGGAGGCCATGGACTGTGCGGCCATGTCCACTGCATCCGAAGCTGCCTGCAGGGTTGCCCTGGCGGCCGCTGTGCCCTCCTCCACCAGTGCTTTGAACCTCTTCCTGTCGCACTCCTGGGGGGAGGGGGGAGTCCTCGAACTTGGGCAGGGAGACCCACAGATTGAACTCCTACTGGCCCAGGAGAGACTGGTGGTTCGCCACCCGTAACTGGAAGCTCGAGGACAAATAAATTTTTCTTCCAAATGAGTCCAGCCTCCTTGAATCTTTATTTTTCAGGGTAGGGGCTGGTTGACCCTGCCATTCCCTGTGGTCGACCGACTCGACCACCAGGGAGTTAGGAGCAGGGTGGGTGTATAAGTGTTCATGCCCCTTGGCAGGTACAAAATACTTGCATTCCACTCTCTTTAGGGATGGGGGCCAATGAGGCTAGGGTTTGCCACAGGGCATTTGAAATTTTCGCCACCCCTTCGTGGAGAGGCAAGGCCACCCTGCCCAATGCTGAGGAGGACAACATGTTAAACAGGGAGTCCGAGGGCTCCTCCATCTCCTCTGCTCGGAGGTGGAGGCTTGATGCTACCCTTTTTAAAAAGTTCTTGGTGGGCCCTAAAGTCCTCCTGTGGGACAGAGGGAGGAGGGGTCATAATCGCCTCATCCAGGGACGGTGAGGAGGCCGGTGCAGTACTTTGAGTGTCCACCGGCACTGGAGGGTTCACCACCTGATTGGTCTCTGGGCATGGTGCCAAGGATGTACATCCCACTGACTCTTTCCTCGGAGGTCTGGAGAGGGAGGCCGAAGGTCCTTCCGAGGCCATGGAGCGAGCCTCCACCAGGGGCCGCGTCGGGGGCCACAGTGCCCACTGGTACCATTGGCCTGGCCACGGGGCCCGATGCCACTGCACCTGCTGTGGCACCGGCGGGGCCAGATGTTCGGCCTGGCTGGCCTGGCCCATCGATGGACGGCTACAAAGGGAGGCTAGGCTGACATATGACCTGCCGCTGTTCCTGGACTGGGAGGAGCAGCAGCACCGGGAGGGATGCCGACCACAGGACCGCGATCCCAACATGGAGGACTGGTACAGTCGGTAACAGCTGCTCCGCGATCAACTCCGCTGGGTGGGCCCGCAACAGCAAGACGCCAGCGATTGATGCCCAGGGCTTCGGAGGCGGTGCCGTGGCGGGGTCCTGGAGCATGACACCAAACGGGAACGACGTCGACATTCGTGCCATGACTGGCTGCGATAGTCCCTCTGAGACTAGGAACTTTGGCATCGTCTGCCTCGGTCCCATCGGTGTTTGCTCCGAGGCGGAGCGGTGCAGAGAGTCTTGGTCAGAAGGAACTCAACCAGACAGCCTGGTGGGCATTGAGGGCGATCCACGTGGACTTTGCCCTGAATGGCTGCTGGACGGTGAACGGTGTCGGGAATGTTCCCTCGACTGAGACTGGTACTGTGCCAGGGGTGACTGTGGAGATCCCAGAGGCGGCTTGCCTCTGGAGTGCGGGGCAGACATTGGCGGTGCTCCTGGTACCAGCATGGACATAATATCCCGGGTCGCCTGCAGGGCCTCCGGTGTGGAGGGCATCCAGACATCCAGGGAGGCCTGCTCCGAATGGGCCGGGCTACTCCACTCGACTTGAGTCGGAGGCCTAGAGGCCATTGGGGATCAAGGACTGCCTGACATGGGTTTAGCCCCTGTCCTGGGTTTACTTCAGTTCCGCAGCGAAGAAGGCCTCTTCCTAGCCTTCTTGACATGCCCCATGGTCGGGGAGCGGTGCCGATTAGTCGCTGGCGCCGATTAGTCGCTGGCGCCGAAGGGTCACCGCGCACCAACACCGCAGTGCCAACTCGGGGCGGCATGCCGGAGCTGGGGTCAGCGCTGATTCCATCAGAATAGCCCTGAGCCTAATGTCCCTTTCTCTCTTGGTCCGAGGCTTAAATGACTTGCAAATCTTGCAGCGATCACTGAGATGGGTTTCCCCAAAAAGCGCAGTCTGCGTGCAGATCACTCAGTGGCACAGATCACCTACAAGTGTCGCATGACTTAAAACCTGGGGCACGCCCCAGCCCGGGCGCTCTAGCTAAACTAAACTAACTAATTACCGGTACCATACACTGAACGAACAAGCAGTTTTGGGGACGAGCTACAGCAAAGCTGGAGCAGAACCGTTCCGAAGCACCTTCACTGGCGGCAAGAAGGAACTGAGGATGGGGGGAGTGCGCAGCACCCCTTATACCGCACCATGGAGGCACCACTCCAGAGGTCGATGGGGCTCTCCCCCTACGGGTACTGTTAGGGGAAAACTTCTGGCACTGGTGCACGTGGCGCGCATGCACACCTACTGTGGAATAGACATGAGCAATCCCTTGAAGAAGAATAAGACTTTATAGTCTCCAATAGGCTTAGCCTTATCTGCTTATGCCTAATTACAAAAAACAAGTTACTTAACTGATTTACTTTAACTCAGAAAAATGCAAAACACAGTAAGGTGAAGTTCTAAAAACAGGAATGATTATTACCTTTTTTTAAGCAATGTCAGCTTCACATTTAAATGTGAACTGATTCAAGAATGAACAGTTACAAAAGAAAAATATTAAAGTTAAATCTTTTCTCTCTGTGTTGGGAAAGAAATTTTAATAACTGAACCCTCCTCTCCCTCGTCCACTCTCTTCAGAATTAATTTCTGCATGTTTGTGTAGTCATTTTACACTGTAAATTCTTCAGGCAAAGACTGTCTTAATTTACTGAATGTGCTTTGTAAGTCATCAAGTAAAGATATATCCTACATACAATGTTTGTTCTAGAAGATTCCAGCCAATCAAGATGCTCAACTTCAATTTGTTCACCTTCTTCCTCCAACAGGTGGCATTAGCATGTAGTAAAGTGAATAATCAAGACATCTAAATAGGCTTGTCATCCATTGGCACTATGATGCAATCAAAAAGGTAGGCTGATGCCGACATCAAGACACTTGCTGGAATACATGACCGTGGTCAAATAAGGGATGGTCAATTGACCAGCTTGCCAAACCTAGCTATGAACATCTGGTAAGATGTTAAACTGGTTCACAGATTAGTAACTGAAGCACAGAAAAGTTAGGCCAAAGGTATTAGAAGCGGCCCCCGATTCCGAGTACTTCAATTTTTGGGCAACTAACTTGAGACAATTTGGACCAGATTTTCAAAGACATTGAGCACCCATAATATCTTTTAAATGTCGTACACAGCAGCATTGTGATGCAGCACAACACAGCTAGGTATCACAGTATCTAAAGATACCAAGGGCCTGATTCTCCACTGCCTTGTCCTTGTACAAAGGCCCTTACAGGAATAAAGTATCTCTATTTTATGAAAGCCCAGCACAATCAGAGTACAATGTTGATCAAGGCAAAATATCTGCCAGTGTGCACAACACTTCAGAATGCCTAAAGAAATTAAAGCCATTCATTGCTATAGCATTACTCGTTAAGTAGAAGTTTAGTGTGTAACGCCAACATTTTTCACATCCAACTTCTTACTGTACTGAAACACTGATGTTCACATATACGAGCACCAATACACTCATTATGTCACAGCAAATACTTTCTTCTAATAAACAGCTATAGGTACAGACAATTGTCTTCAAACCATCAGCTCTGATATTTTACAGCACCCGCTTTTACTATACCATAATGAAGACATTACAATTGTGCAGAGCTTCCAAAATGACCTGTGAAGTCACCCAAGATGTGATTACTACAGCTGCAGTACTTGCAAAGGTGCTGCAGGCCTATCATACAGAATTCACTGAGCAACTCCACAGCCTGTTCTCCGCAAGGTGGATAACACTGTTCTATTTACATTCGTTTTGAAGGTTAGAGACTTTTCCTCTTCCCCTCTCAGATGCCCCTTTCTAACCTGCCCCTCATGGCCCATAAGCCCCTACAAACACAGACCCAGAGCCTCCCTGAGCCCTTAAGGGGGGGAGCCCCTGAGATCATAGACACAAGAGCCTCTGCCCTCCCTCCCACCATGAGCCCCTATACACACAACCCATCCCCTGCTTCCCACACTCTTACCCCTCACTGCCAGTGAGCCTTGGGTCCCTGATGCCAAGAGAATCATAAGCCTCAGCCACATTGAGGACCTGGCTCCCTGAGGCCCAGCATGCCTGAGCAGTACCTGGGTGCCATGCTGGCAGCACTCCTACCATGTGACCTACGAGCCCATTGTTACGTGGCTGCCGGTGCTGGTACCGTCATGCATTCATGCAAGCTGACAATCGCAGTGTGCCAGGGTTTTGAATCTCTCTTTCCACCCCTCGCCCCCCCAACACTTTAGCAACACTTACTTACATTTTCTACCCCCCCCCTTTTTTTTCCCCAAAGGTCTCATACACACCCCACCCCTCCCAGTACAGTAGTCTGTCATGATCCCCCTGGGATTCATGACATACAGTTTGGGAAACGCAGGTTTAGCAGAACCAAATGCTTGTATGAACACTGTCCCTATTAACAGTATATCAAGAGATACATTCAGATAGGTCAGTGATTCTTAACCTTTACTGCAGCCTGCACCCTTTTGGTTCTCAAAAATATGTTCTTGCACCCCTTATCAAAAATCATTGAAGTAGGTCAGTTCTTTAAACCTAGATATATCATAACTATAGAATGAAAGAGATTGAAATTAAAATAAATATATAATTCTCAGTTAAAATTTAACAGCGTAATCATTAAAAATGTATAATGTTAATACATAGGTTTGATGAAACAAAGTAGTTGTACTTACGTGCCTGTGCTTAATTTGTGTTTTTGATGATTTACCTTCTAAAAAAATCTGTCTTGCACCCCCAGAAAGGGCATCTCGCACCCCCAGGGGGTGCGTGCACCCCAGGTTAAGAACCACTGAGATAGGTGATCATCTCAAAAAACTCTACATTGCTTTTCAGATCAGCCTGTGGAAGTCTCCAAGATTAACGAAGTCTCCTTATAGGACATTTACAACTAGACTGAACAAGACACTAAAAAAACACTGTGGAGAACAATCAGATATGGGCTCTCTCAGCCACTCTCAATGGACAGGGGCTGTGACCCAGAAGTGGATCACAAGGAGATGCCCCTTATGTCAGACTTCAGGCAGCTGAGACTGAAAAACCAAAAGAAATCCCCTGGTTGCTAGGACCCAGCAGGCACCAGGATAAGGAAGGGAAGGTGCTATTCATAGTAGTGTAAAGAAGCCAGAACTACAAACTTGCCTAATATTTCTGCCATAATTTAGAGAAGTGACTTCTGAACAGACAAAATCATCAGAAACAATACATCATGCTACCAATAGTTATAGGATTGCCAAACAAAAATGAACAAACAATAGAGATCCCGGAGAAATGCTCTCTATTTTAACATACTCCAAATTATATCACTTGCTTCTAACCCTGTTAGATCCTGGTGCACTCACATTTTCAATGAACTGTGTGTTGGACAACATAAGAAAGTCATTGAAGACATTACGTAGGCGACTGTCTGTGGCTTTTGTTTCATGAATCAGTCCGTCTACTTGCTTTTTAATTTCATGCGTCCTGGAGATGGTCTGCTGGGAAAACTCTTGCAGAAAATGCAGAAGCTATTTACAAAACACATAAGAGTGGTGTTTAATTTCAGATAACTTTAGTCACAATAAAAAGGCCAGGGCTAGTCATTCAAGTGAATTAAAAATGGGAAAGTGACAAAAGAAAGAACTTTTAGACTGGAGAACTCCTGACTCAAGTTACTAATACTCTAAATGTTCTTGTGATTCCCCCCAACCCTCCATTGTTTTTGTAGTTTATTTTTTTGCAGTTCACACAGGGCCAGCGCATAAAACAAGAGAGTATTAAAATAGCAGAAACCACCACTGATTTGCTGAGGGGTTGGATTTAAAGTGGCATCACATCTCTCTCCTTTCACCATGGCCCCCCCACCTGGCACTAGTTGCACTATGATTCCATGAGGACTTGATGTGACACAGGGAAGTGAGGGGAAAGCCCAGGATGACAGCTGTCTGCAGCACTATTCTGGATGTGCTGCCAACCTGAGAAATTTCTGAAGGTATTTAACGCTGAACCTGTCACTACCGGTACATGCGCTGAACAGGTGGGAGGAGAAGAAAGTCACAGAGGGGACTAGGAGGAGTAGGGTGAATGGGGAGATGGGAAATTCTAGAGCTCTCAGGACATCCGTGGGTTGCCCCCTCCCCAATCCACAGGAAAGGTGGCCCTCAGTTTGGAGAGTGAGACCAGTTTCATTTTCTGTTTGTATTTCCAGAGGGGCCGGGGGGGGAAGAGATTTCCCAGCTCTTGGGCACTAGCACCCTAGTGCCATGTTTGGGTTTCCAGTCTGCAGGGAGAGGTCCACATATTCAAGAATCCACACAGCATAGGAGAAACACACCCCTCATTAGAGCCAGTTGCCCAAAGAGCCCCACTGCCAGCTTGTATATGACCCCCCCAGACCCATGAGCCAACCCCTACTTTTGCAGCTAGCTTTGTGGAACACAGCTGGCTCAGCCTTTGGGCCCCCCCCCACCACAAGCACCCCACTACTCCCAGCTGCCAATACCCTCCCGACTGCACTCACTAGAGTGGGGTATAGGCTGCCTGAGGATAGCCCCCTTCGCAGGGGGCCAGCAAGTAACAGGCCAGGCCCCCACAGTGGGGCAATGAGAAACACCTGGGGAACAGCCCCCTGGTGCTGCCACAGCATGGGGAGAGGGAAACAGGTGCCAGGAGAGGCTAAGGAGGGCCCAGAGGCTGAGAGCAAGTCCAACTGTAGAATCATTTCTCCCACAACCCCTCACCAGCCCCCCCCATAGCTACCTTCACCACCTCCTGCCAGACCTCCACCAGTCCCCATAGCTCCCTTCACCTCCCCCCACCATTCTCCCCTTCACCCCCATAGCTCCCTTCACCT